CCTAAGTGTTAAACGCCGACGAACAAGCCGACCAGGTCACCGGACAGGGTGGACTACCCCACGGACGTAGCGGACAATCGCGGGTGACCCAAGTTATGACTTGACACTGACGATTTACAGAATTGAAATGACAAGGCAAACAAGCATACAATGGATTCAAAGCCGAGAAGGATGACAAAAATTCTTTCATTCAATTAATTCATTACAATGGGGGGCACTTCGGCCGTTACATAATCTGGCAACAAATGAAAAGCTAATTACAGTAGTGAATAGCCGATCAAGCCTCCGGGGCACCTTCATCCGCGGCGGGCTCTTCGGCCTCGTCGGCTCCCTCCTCGTCGGCCTCATCGGCCTCAGCTTCTTGGCCGGCAGCGGCGCTGGTGGCATCATCTAAGAAGTCGAACTCAGTGTAGTCCGGCTCGCCGAGGCCGGAGCTTTCTATGGGGGACTCCCGCTCCGACAGCGGAAGCTTGGCCTGCTCTTCGGGATCCTTCATCAGCTTTGGCAGCTTCAGGTTCCGTCTAGCCCATCCAGACGTGTAATTCATGGCCTTCAACGCCCGGAATAGCCGCCGACACAGGAGCCTTTGCATCCGCTCCTGGCCCAGGTTGTAATAAACGGACATCTCCCGGCTGAAATACACCCGGCCGGCAGGGGAGTTCATCCCCCAATTCTCCAGCCTGGCGGCCACCACTTCGTAGCACCAGGGGAGCCTCTCATCGGCCTTCCACCCCTCGGCTAGGAACTTCTCGACGGCCTCATCGGCAGCCTTCACGACAGCGGCCTCGGCCTCAGCCTTCGCCTTGGCGGCCTCCTCGCTCCTGCGCCTCTCGGCCTCAAGCGCCCTACGGGACTCCTCGAGCTCCCTTCGGCTCTCCTCGAGCTTGACCAGGGCATCATCCCTGGCCGCGGCGGCTTCATCAGCTTTGGCCTGCAGCGCCTTGGCATCCTCCCGGAGCCGGTCAAGGCAAGCTACCGCCTCGTCGGCCGAGGCAGCCTTCTGCTCTAGCGCTTGCAGGCGAGCTATCTCCCAGTACTGCCTCTTATGGCTTTCCATAAGCATGAAGGCACTCTGCAGAAGGAAAACAAAGGTCAGGCAAAAAACTCTACACAGACGAAGAGAGACAAAAATATAAGGACAATCACTTACTTGGACGAGGAGGTCCATGTCGCCCTCATAAATCTTCGGGTCCTCGAGCTTCTTCAAGTGAGCCCGATCTTTGGCCGGCATGGCCTTGGCCAGGACGACGTGGCCGGGGACGAGATCATTAAACACGCCCCCGCCGACGGGGTACTCTATCACCTTCTGATAGGTGGCACCGGCAATCTCCTTGCCGGCCCTCTGCGTCCGTGGTTCCTGGACGAGAGGAAGCGCTGGGGCAGCATCGTCAGCAACGGTAAGGTCCACGACGGGACCACCATCGCCCACGCTGGGGACGGTAAGAGTACCGGCCTCACTAGCCGGAGACGGGGAAGGAGCCCTCTTCGTCTTCTTAGAGACGCTCACGCCGGCCTCAGTCAACTTCTTCTGGCCGTCAGTGGCCGGTCTCTTTTTCTTTGATGGGGCAGGCTTTGGGGCCGCATCAGCAGTAGTAGCCCCGCTCCCACCGGCCGCGGCACGTCTGGCCGCCTCGGCCGCCTTAGCAGCAATCTCCTCGGCCGCTTTAGCCTTGGCAATAGCCATCATGGATCGACGGTCCATGACAAAATCTACAAAGGAAAAAACACAAACAGATTAGTAAGGCAAAGGACAAAACATAAAGACAGAAAGCCGAAGAAAGAATTACCATCGGCCTCAGCAGGAATGCCCAAGTCCGGGCCGTCGGCCTCCTCAAAGGTGGTGGTCATCCTCGGCCAGAGTTGGAGGTCATCCTCCTTGTCACCATAGACATAGTACCTCACGAAGCCGAGGGCGGCCATCTTGTACTCAGTGATGTAATCCTTCACGCTCCTCGGCCCCCCCTCCAAGAAAGCCTCCACCTGAGCGTCCAAAATAGAGCTCTTCGGCGGGTCATGCAGGTTAAACCTCCCGGTGTGGCCGAGGGAGGGAAACTCGGTGCCACTCTCACCAATGGACACAAACACGAACTTGCTCTTCCACCCATGAATGGACGTAGGCAAATCCGTGAAGCTCCTCTTCTTCGGCAGCTGCTGAAGAGTAGCATAGGCCGCACAGTTCTTGTGACTTCCTCGGCCTATCTGGTACAAATTCATGAATAGTGCCGTCGTCGGCTGGTAGCCCAACTCCTCACACCGGAGCAGAAACCCCACCATCAAAGAGTAACTGTTCGGCGTCAGCAAGGCCGGAGGAAGCCCTACCATGTCCAGGTACTCAGTAATGAAAGGGTGAAGGGGGAACCTCAACCCCTTGGCAAAACTCATCGGGTATACTCCAAAGTACCCCGGTGGTGGAAGAAGAACATGGTCCGTCGGCTTGGGTGCCCTAACCCGCCCGAACGGCCCCACGTACATCTGGGCAACAAGGTAATCGACCGCACTGCTCTCCGGCTTGATCAGGTAGATGTTGGTGAGATCTAGATAGGAGACGCCGGGTCCACTCTTCGGCCTCCTCACTCTCTTCGGCTTGGCGGCTCCCTTAACGGCGGACACCGGCCTCGGGCACGGAATGACAGCAGAAGTGGACGCCCCGTCCACCACTCGGGACGCACCCACGTCCTCACCCTTTGAAGAAGAGGCGGACTCCTCGTCCTCGCCTTCCTCATCCATCAGCTCCGCAGATTTGTATGGACTTAAACGCTCTATCTCCTCCTCAAACTCCTCGAGCACCTCGTAGTCAAGCGACCTCATGGAGGGCTGGTCGTCATAGGGGTAGTAGTCGTCGTTCAAGCTCTTCATTACTACTACTACGGGCTTAAGGAGAACAACTTAAGATCTAAAGGTGTTTAAATGCCTAACACTAGATCAACTACCTAGGAAGCAAAGTATGAAAAGCGAGGAAGATCGTGATAAACACTAACCTCGAACAACGAAGAACAGGCTTGGGAGTTTATCTCTCTAGAAAATCGGCCAGCACTTCGACAAATTCAGAATGCAAATGTGATTCCTCGTCGGAGGGGAATGGGTATTTATAGACCCCCCCACCAACGGTCACTACACGTGGCACTCTCCCAATGGCCACATCAACGGCCACCACTGGGAGGCCACCACGTCACCAACGGGCCAGGACCAACCCATATCAACGGCCCACCGGCAAATCAGACTCTACGGCCTACACACGCTCAGCGGCTTTACAACTGCCAGCAAGCGCCCACAACGTCCCACTTGCTCACCAAGATCACAAATGCCAAACAATAAGAGGATGGCAACGGCCAGGAACGTAACGGCCACAGAACAAAGGGGACAAATAGCCCACAGCCTTCGGCTCCTCGTAATAACCCTTGATGATAACTCTCTACAAACGATCTGCGCACAAGGGTTCTCTCACAGGGTTACCTTGGCCAGAAAATCGCCATGAGAGTTGGATTCAGGGGGACTACGGCGAGACCGCTTCGGCCAGGGACTCAAGCAACTCCTTCACCCCTCACACTCCTCGGCCTGAAGCAGTGGGGGACTGGGGGACTACACCGGCCTCAACGAAACAAAGAGTATAAACAAGGTAACCACAAAACATGGCCACATCATCCACACAACACAACGGAACCTCATCGGCCAAAGGCCCAAAACGTCATTAGCAACGGCCAACAAGCCACTAGAGGCAAGGACACTCATCGTCCTCCGCCAAACAACTAATCTTGACGGGCCCTTCGGCCAAGAACACGAAGGCCAACCAGCAACGGCCAAAAGGAGTGCGCGAGCACCCTCATCGGCCACCCAAAGGAAAGGACGCCATCGTCCTCAAAGCAAGGAACAACCTCACCGGCCCAAACATAAACTTCAACCACCAACGACCAGGAAAGGGAAAGCGCGCCTTCAACGGCCGACATCGGAACAAGACACTCATCGTCCTCAAACGAACACGTCAAGGAAATAACGGCCTCCCCGCCCACAGCGAGGAGCAGGTAACGGCCAAAGCCCATAACAGGATCACCAAAATGGAAACAGCGCCAATACCGCAACGGCTAACGGCCTGGAAATGCCCGCGTCAGCCAAAAGCAACAAAGCACAGAAATCTACTCTCCTTCACTTCGTCTACGTCTCAGCTTAGAGAGTGGGGGACTCCTGATGGAGTATATGGGTCTGAGCTCCAGGACCCACATACTCGGAAGAACAGAGCACAAGACAACAGAGTGGCGCCCTCGTCGGCCAAGACGCCCCCGTCGGCCGAAAAGGGGCCAACTCAGATTACGGTCCTGAACCCAAGGAACTCGGGTGCCCTCGTCGGCCGTACCCTCGTCGGCCGTGCCCTCGTCGGCCACGAAGACCTCCCAGAAACGGATTCTATACTTACTCATTTGTACAGCCCATTAGAGGCTTTGTATTCGGCCCAGTAGCGGTCCAGTTGTAAATGGGCCTCCCAAGCCCAAGGCTTGGGAGCCCAACCCTAATTTTCTCTATAAATACTCTCCTTGGGAGTAGTTATAGGGGTTACAAAATCATTCTATTGAAGCACATATTGCACTTCTCTCTCTAGCTCTCACTTCTCTCTAGATATACTCTATCAAACATGTTTGTACATTATATACTTTGTACATTAAGTTGTCCCAAAAAACTTTGTCACTTTCCTATTAAAGCAACTAATTTGTGTTTCTACACATTTCTCTCTCCTTTACACAAATCGCAACTACACAATTTTTACTATTTTTATTTCTCACCTACTTTGCACTTGGCAAAATTCATCGGGACGGATGTAGTATATTTTTGTGTGATGTAGCGTTTTTATATGACATGCTCGTAAAACTGTATATGTTCCTCACATTGTGTGTGTTTCATTTTTTAATGTATAACAAAAAGTTGTTGAATTGAAATAAATTATTATCCCGTGCATCCCACAGGTACAATACTAGTTTGGTATTAAAATGTAACATATTAATATTCATAATCGGGTATGTCTTTTATTATCATTTTATATTTTTCAGTCACTCATTCAGCTGTTTGGCCAAACACGTCTACTTTATTCAGTTAATATTTTAGATTCATCACTTCATAATACACTTTCAGGCAACAGTTTCTAATTCAGACAATCGTCCTCAATTCAGACATTAATATTCAGTTCAAGCTCGTTGGGGCATAAAAGAGACCAAATTAAAGTTACGCAATTACTACAGTACAAAATATACGTAGCCGATGTTTTTGACCAAATTTATTTTGACCGAGCTCAAAATAAACGTATATTATGAGACAACTTATCTTCGTGAAAGAAACACGTGTACAAACATCTCAGTAGGCGATGATTCCACAGAGTATGCTTCCACAAGGATCACGTGGATGGAGTTTATCTTTGACAAAATAACAAATCTTCCTGCTGTGCGATGGGTTCGGCTTGTGCTCCGTGGGTAGATGATTAAAAATGTTAATTTCCACCTACTCATCAGTACCCCAAAGCTGCTATCTTTTGTATTTTTTGGTATTCTCAAATCAAATTCACCATATTGATTTCGTATCAGCCGCTGCAAGAATTCAAGAAATCCGGCACAAGTTGTGAGAAGTAACAATGGCTGGAAGCATAAGAAGAATTACAGGGTTGGGTTTACTGTCAGCAGAAGAAAAACTTTGTGTGGGTAGTAGAAAGTGTAGGAGAGGATTTGCTTCTTTGATTGTTGAGGAGAATGCGAAGTCATCGTCTTCTGTCAATCTCTTCTCTGCAATAAATCAGGCTCTTCACATTGCCTTAGAGACTGATCCGCGGTTAGTACCACTGCTATAGTTTGGGATGGCTTCCGATTCTCACGTTTGGATTTCGTTATCTTAATACATTCCACTTTATGGATAGGCCATTTTCACCAAGTCCCCTTTATCTTTTTTTAGTCAGGGATTTCCGGCTACTTTTGGTCTTTCCTGTCACTTATTTGGCAACTCCATGTACATTTTACAGTTGATTTTTGTCAGATTAGTTATAGTGCTAAAAGTGTCAAGAAATCCATAGTTGTACACCAAAAGTGAAATACTCTCGTATCGAGGCATCACATGATCACCTATTATGTTATACGGAGTTATTTTAGAATGTAAGATGCATATACAGGGCTTAGACTTTTCCCTCCAAAAAACCCCTTCCGACCATCCAAAATGATCCTTATACGTTACTGAATTTTGTATGTGATCTGAAATGGGGGTACTTATTCATTAGTTGACTATAAATTCCCACCTTTATTTGATCTAATTTCTAGAAATTAATTCTGAACACAATATCAAATCAATCCAAATGAGGCCCAAGTGGTACTTAAGGTGCACATTTTTCTGTGTGTTTATTAAGTGATCTGATACGGGGTTTCTTCATTTAATGACTTGAATTTGAATTTTCCTAATTGAAGTTGAAAACTTTTCTTGCTCAAATCTGGAGTGGGACGTGAATTGAAGCTTATCCTTAATTAATTGATTTATTGGATATATAAGTCATAACATAATCTCATGCAGAGAATCTTGAGTGGCCAAGATAAATTGAACTTATATTGCATATGCGCGATGAAGCTTTTTCATTCTCAATTTTTGTTACCTTGTCTTGACGTAAGCCTTTATTAGGATCAATTTGTGCACTTCTATTTGTTTATGCCAGCATAAATTCCACTTAGAGAGTTAGAGCCCACTTGGTCTGAGTTATTGTCTCAATCTGCTTCATTTTCTGAAAAAGAACCGTGATTGGTAACATCTATTTCAGCAAAATATGGATGTCATAGCATACTTCTTCTGCTGATATGCAGCATAAACTGATTATGGCTCCAAAGGGAGCCTTACTATTTTTGTGTGTAGTGATTTCAATGATATAGTGAATTCATGGCCTCGATCTTCTTTCCAGTGCTTATATATTTGGAGAAGATGTGGGGTTTGGTGGTGTCTTTCGTTGCACTACTGGACTTGCTGACCGGTTTGGTAAACACAGAGTTTTTAATACTCCTCTCTGTGAACAGGTAATTATAAGTTTTTTTTATAATAAAAAAGTAGAATGTGCATGATTATACAACTATTATGGTTTGGTCTACAAAAGGCAAAAAATCTAGAATGGCATGAGATTTGAGCAGGCATGGTTTGATCTAATAACCATTTTTTGACATGTTAGGGCATTGTTGGATTTGCAATTGGTTTGGCGGCAATGGTAGGGTTCACCTATCAAACTCGAGACTATTGTTTATACTTTATACTGATCTAAGTTTCATGTACAATTTATTTTGTTCTGTAAATTTTTAGGACAACCGAGCGATAGCAGAAATTCAGTTTGCGGATTACATTTTTCCTGCTTTTGACCAGGCATGCATTTTCCATCAGCTGAATACTAAGGCCTGTTTAGAAATGGTTATTCAGCTAAAATGGCTGAATGTGCTGAACTTTTTTATAGTAAAGAATTTGGTAACATCCATTTCAGCCAACTCAGTGACTTATTCTGCTTATTCTAAGCAGAGCAAGCCATCTTTAGCTACCAAAAGGAGCCTAAGTACCATTATTTACACCACATTTGGTTGATGTCTCGCTATCTACTTCCACAGATTGTGAATGAAGCTGCAAAGTTTAGATATAGAAGTGGTAACCAATTTAACTGCGGAGGTAATCGAGAAAACTGGATTGAATTTATTTGTTTTCCCAGCGCTCGTAAAATATACATGAATTGCTTCTATACTTCTAGGATTAACCATTAGGGCACCCTATGGAGCTGTTGGACATGGTGGGCATTACCACTCCCAATCCCCGGAAGCCTTCTTTTGTCATGTTCCTGGTATTAAGGTACTCTCTGCAGTTTATGCTTGTACTTTAGGTTCTTCTTTGTGACTTTTGTCACCTTTTTTCGCAATATTCTATCCGAACCATATAATCAGTTCAAACCGAGGCACTAAAAACCGGATTGGCGATTGGAATCGGTTAAGGTACTGCTTCATTGTTCTGTGTAGGCCAGCTGGTATGTAATTTGGTTGAGCGGGAATGAATTGAATAAAACAATATGTAGTTTATTTTTAATCTTACACACACATACACATATTTTTTCTTTGTACATGGCACTCAAGCTGAGGGAAAAATAACACACGTTAAAAGAAGCACTAAATATTCATGATCTAAAATAAAAATAAAAATAGAACCTGTCTAACATATTCATGATCATAATACAAATTTATAGTAAAATATTACGAATAATATAAAATGATCTAGTAAAGTATTCAATAAAATTCAACAAAATTCGTAGTCAGAATGAAGATCATAACCCGAGCAATATACTATGTATGAACATTATATAATAGCAAATATTACCTTTGCCTATTAAATTTAAAGTTTATTAAATTGAAGAATAAAAATTAGGGTCATCAATATCTAGTAGTCTGAAATATGCATAAATCCAATACCAGATCCACCATCACTAGATTCACTAATATAATATATTTTGCTTGATATATTATCTTCCCAAGTTGTTTTTTCCTACTATATTTTCTATTTCCAATTAATAGTGGATGAATGTTTTTCGTGACAGTAATGGTAGCATTGGTTATTAACCAGGAAAATAAAAAAATAAATAAAGAGAAAAGTGTCAAATTGGCCCTCCTACCGTGTACGGAAAGTCATTCAGCCCCGCACTTTAAGTTTCATCAATTACGTCCTCCTACCTTGTAATCTTTGTCAAAACCGACTTTAGCAGGTATCCCTTACCCGCTAACATGGCGCACGCGAGGCCTGACACGGCACACACGTGGCGGGCCATGTCACCTTCCCCCTTTTTCCTTTTCCTTTTTTCCTTTTCCTCTTTCTTTCTCTTTCCTGTTCGTCCTTCTTCCTTAAGCAGATTCTTCCATGGCTGGCATCAATTCTTCCGCAGGTTTTCATCCATGACTCTAAGTTTGGGTGGCTCTTTAACACCCATGTTCCTCCTTCCATTCTTTCCTTCTCCATTCCCTCGGCGACAGCGATGGCGACAAACCCAATTCAAGAAGACCTCACTTTAACATCAGTGACGCCGTGGTGGAGACATTGTGAGTTAGAGGAAGAAGACATTGAGTTTTTTACCTTGCTGGACTGGGTTGTTTCTTCGCCGGAAGTTTGGCGGGAAGTTGCTGGGGGAAAGGTAGTTACATTGTAAAGGAAGAAAAATGAAACAAGCAGGTTAAAAATAAATTAAGGTGGCAGGGAGAGGGGCAAGAAAACTCCTGCGCGAACAAGCTTAGGAAAGAATCTATTTCAGAGTCTCAATTAGCTGTTGCTTTGGGGAGGATGAATGCAGGTAAGGGGAGAGATGGAAATTTCCGTACAGAGTATGAGGGTCGATTTGACACTTTTCTCTTAAATAAAAGAGTACCTTGCACATGAAAATGAGAGAATAGAGAATGAAGAGTCGCAGAACCAGAGATGTAAGGAATGTGATTCTCGAAGAAGAGAAGTGCAGTCAGAACTTTTAAGAGAAAAATGGGTGATGTTTTATTTGTTTTTGAAGTGGGCACAACTCATTTATTTAAAACCTGAAAGCGCAATTGCTTACGCCTCAATCCTGCCTGGTTGCATATGCCTTAAGGCGTGTGCCTCATTCGAAAAGGTGTAGCCTCAACATTGCATAATTTTGGAGGTAGTTGTAGTACACTAGTACATAAGTGCCCCCAAAATTGCTGAGGCGGACCTCAAGGCATAAAGGCATTGTGCAATTATGAACATTGACCTCTATCCACTAGAACCAGTCCATTTTTAAAATATATAGTGTTCGTTATCTACTAATAATTGACATTGTTCAAACCCACTAAGATGGTGGGTTTGGATTTATTCCTTCTCCCCTTTTTATTATTATGTATCTTTTGTCCCTTTTGTTATTTTTTATGACTGCTCTGACTATATTACAAACAACTGCACAAACTTCACTAAATCCCATTAATATTATTTGAAGTATTTATATTTGTTTCCAAATTCCGATCGCCATTACATGCTTGAACCAAAAGCCCCCTCATGGTGTTAAATTCAGTTTTTGAAAACTGACTGACACTAAAAATCGCATAAGCTGTATCATGTTTGAACTTTGAAGGGCAATGTGCCTACCTATGGAATATATATCTGTTTTATTTTAACTAACGTATTTGGGTAAATTTCACGTGCAATCTCATTTGAGGTTGTTATCCCACGGAGCCCACTCCAAGCTAAAGGGTTATTGTTGTCAAGCATTCGTGATCCTAATCCGGTTATCTTTTTTGAACCAAAGGTGAGCCTTTCTATTTTCTAAAACTGAAGATGTGTTTGGCACCCAACCATTGAATTATATTTGAAATATGGTGTTATTCCTAGAGTGTGTTTGCGAGTTAGGTTTTGGATGGGAAGGGACATGTTGGTGTATTTTATTTTTAAAATCAAGAAACTTTATATTATTTGTGGTAATAATTAAATGAATAAGATATTCAAATTTAACCAATTTATAACCAATTTATCGTTTTATATCTTTTGTTTTAAAAAATCATTACACCGAACACCTGATTTTTAAAATATGTCACACCCCTACTTCCTCTCCAATATCTAACTCCAAACATACCCTTTATGAAACCCAGTGGCTTTACCGCTTGTCTGTGGAAGAGGTTCCGGAAGGCGATTACATGTTACCTCTTTCTGAGGCAGAGGTAACATTCCATTTACTTTCTTTGTCAATATTACTGCTCTGAAATTCAAGGTGAGAACTATCAAATTCTAGATATAAACAGGTTATTAGAGAAGGTAGTGATATAACACTTGTTGGCTGGGGTGCTCAGCTTTCCATCATGGAAGAGGCCGCCATCAATGCTGAAAAGGTAAAGAAGATTTATGTTCCAATAATATACTTGATTGGATTTTTCTGCCACCATCACTCACTATGAGGAGATATTAGATTTTAATGCTTGTTGGGTGCCCTCTGTTTTTGTTTTATCATGTTCATCCTCCTATTCTAATGTGCAAACATAGTCTAATCTGAAATTTATCTCATTATTACAGTTGAACTTGAACTTTTTCCTTTGATTCACTAACTAGATGCAATTTGTTCACAAATAAGTGGCTACATAGCAATCAGACAAGTAGGGTATGTTTTGTCAATTTATGACAAAATTAGTTATCAGATAGGTAGGGTATGTTTTGTCAATTTATCACATTTTTTTTCTTAATGGAATGTTATTTCAAAGCAAATGGAGTTTGACTCTATAAACTATTTCAGCTTAGTCATGTCTCATTATAATTTATATTTTCTATGCAAGTGGGGGGGGGGGGGGGGGGGGGGGAGGGGAGGGGAGTGAAAAACTATGATGAACGGTTGTAGAATTTTCATCTAAATATCTAATTATTTCTCTAGTTATAATTTTCATCATTTGCAATGGAGTCAAAGACTCACTGTTTTTGGCTTGGGAATATGATGAAATAAAGCAAAATGGCTCACTAAACTGTCTTAACTTCTAAGCATCACTCAGTCTATGCAATTTTTGACGCAATTTTCACCCTGGGTCATCTAGAAAAAGTCTCTTTGTGATTTAGTACATGGAACCTTTACGGTACTGGGGTAATGATGATGAGTTATAAGGTCACGACAGAAAGGGCATCCCTCCCGTATAACATTGTACTTTGTTTTCTGCGTGATAATAGTGATTAACTATTGTTAGACTAGAACTCCCGAATGCCTCCGATCTCACAACTATCAGATTATTCCCAATTTTGGTCCCCAACTTTGAACTTTCCACTAATGATCTTCCTACCACTTATCCGTCAACCACTTGTCTGTCCAATTTGTAGTTTACTTTTGCCGGACAAGTGACCAGAAAGGATAAAAAAGTTAAGAAATCTGTAGTAGTGCTCAAAATTGGAATAGCCTAATAGCTGCTGGAACAATAGTTCAAAATATTCTTGTGGACATAATTAATTGACACTATAAGTTTCATGCTACCGGCCACAACATAGTTGGGATTAAAGTGTTGACGATGATGAAAGAACCTTAATGAAAAATGAAAGTGAAAATACCTGCAGGAAGGGATCTCTTGTGAATTGATAGACCTCAAAACTTTAATTCCTTGGGATAAGGAAACGGTGGAGGCCTCTGTCAAAAAGACCGGAAAGCTTCTGGTGAGCAATGTCATATGATTTTGGAAGTCTTATTAAAAGCACCCATTTCTTCAACAATATATTCTAATTTCTTACTTGTGTAGGTCAGCCATGAAGCTCCTATAACAGGAGGATTCGGCGCTGAAATATCTGCTTCTATACTTGAACGTTGCTTTTTAAGAGTAAGTTCTGTCTGTGACTTGACGCGCATTCATGAATATGGTGTAGTCCAACTAGCTGCTTAATCTTTTAGCTTAGGCGAATGTATTACCATTTTACCATTGGAAGGCCAAATGGGTAAAATCTTACGACTCACGATCATCTTGCTTAGTATAGAAACCCCCAACTTAAATGGTCTTGATCTACTCTTCATATCATGTTGAGCTTTTAGTATTGAAATCCCAAGTCTTAATACATACAGAGTATTTTTTTGGGATACTTAGGGAGTGCTTTCCATTGCTAAAAAATGTGTTTTTAAACTTTAAGAAAGGTTAAAAAATAGTGCTTTTAAAGAATGTTTAACTTAAGCACTTTAAAGCTATAAGTAGGTGAAAAGATGCTTTAAACCACTTTTCACTTTCTATATTACACATTTACACAAAAGTAATTTTTTACCAAACACTTTAACTTTTGCTTTTTAAAAGCACTTTTCTTCTAAAAAACTACCAACTTTACTCTCTCCATTCTCTATTAACTGTGTCGCTTTCCTTTTTAGAATGTTTTTAATTATTTGTCCCTTTTTCCCATTTTAGTAAGTTTTTTTTAATCAAAATATCTTTATACCCTCACTTTTATTAGCCATTTTAATCAAAATACCTTTATACCCTCACTTTTATTACCCATTTTTACTTTTTATATACTACTTTCTATTTTCTATTTTTATGATTTTATCATTACTTTATTCTTCTTAATACTCTCTCCGTCCCACAAAATTCTTCACACTTTGACATGCAACAGAGTTTACGAAAGTGTGAACAAAGTGGAAGTGTATGATTGTGATTGAGTAAGAAAAAAGTAAATGAATGGTAGCCACACAAAACTTTCCAAATAGGGAAATGAGAAGATTTTTTGGGACGTCCCAAAAAGGAAAGTGAGAAGAATATTAAGGAATAGGGGGAGTATATGTAAGAACTCTTCCAGGTTTGTATTGAAATCTAGTAAGAGAATAGTATTCAAGAAACAACTGAAGCTTTCATTAATGGTGGAAAGTGTACAGAGAACTCCCAAGAAACGAGATACCAATATCTCAGCTTCTCCCAGCCCAGAGTCTAACTGTCTAACCCCCTCCTCTATTTCCGCCAGTCTATTCTATTTATACTACTCTAGCTATTACTCTTCTTATTTACTCTTATTCTACCAGGTCCCTAACATATGTCCCCCCCTAAACAACCACCTTGCCCTCAAGGTGGGCGATAGGAAACAGTCAAGATTTTCTGCTTCCTCTTCATCCTTGCGCCTCTCCCTTCCCAATACTTGGCTGATTGCTGGACCTTTAGCTTTGTTACTTCCATCTTCTTCCACATATAATTCACAGCAGAAATACACAGATGCAAGGGCATGGTGGCATAATGCTCCTTAACGTTGTAAAGGATATAATATCCCAACATCTGCCTCTGTTGTTGTAACCTTGGCTTTTCTTCCAACATCTTTTCCAAGAGCTTGATCCTTTCAAATTCTGTGAAGGATAAGGTGCCACCTGTTGCAACACAGAAAATAACTACTTGCTTTTGAACACCTTCTGGTTTTAAGGATAAATCCATAGGGTACTTCTTGGAGACATCAAGTATAGCAGTCTGAATAGTAGAGTCCAGATTCACCTTGATTCCATCCAACTGAAGTTCTGAAGTCATCAAGTCAACAACATAACCTTCATTCTTAAATTTGACACCAGATGTTAACTGATGGGAGTTATTGTAGAGGAAGTCCAATACATTCAGTTCACAGTCTTTCTCATAGGTCTGGTTCCATCTGATGAAACATTCCAATCTAAAATAAACAAGGATGAGGTACCGGCCCTCTGTAGCAGGTAATCAAAACCTGCACCTCCATCTTGAACAGGTATACAAAGTACTGGCCTTCCCCTAACCTGTTCATCCAAGATTAAGGCGTCTGTGAATAGATCAAGGTTGATATCCTTGTCAATCATCAGAAACACTTCAGCCTCAGCTTCCGGTCCACCGGTAACGGTAGACTGCTCCTGGCCTTTGTCTTCCGGATTAGGGTTCTTGATTACAGATTTATCTGAATCCCACTCGGTATTCTTTATGGACTGGGGAAAATTTTGCTCCATGTGAGAAACATCTTGCCATAAAACTTGCGAACCAAAAGAAAAAATTGCTTGCGAACTCAAAGAAACGGCTTGAGATGAAGAATGCGAACAATGAGAATCGACTGGCGATGAAGATGAGGATTCTTCTCTCACTCGTTTTGCCTTCTGTTGCGAGTTGTTCGTGGAGGGAAATACCTGCAGACTGAGATCTGCTGTTGCGGTTTGCTGCTCGCTTAGCGACGATTCCCGCGAACTGAGAGAAGCTGTTCGCGCTAGTGAATTCTGGATAACCATTCGCGACTCAGTTTGCGAACTGGTGAACGATTCCGTTGAGCGATGTCTAGGGCTCCTCGCTCGCAGTGCTATGTTGCCCATCTCTCCAGGATGCGAAATATGGTGCGAGGTGTGCAATCGATTCTTTGATTGACTTTGAAGTTTGTTTTGTATTTCTGCGATGGTAGTTTGCATAGCGGCCATCTTCCTCGCCATATCTTCTTGCCTCGCTGCTAACTCCTTCTGATTTCTTGCAAAATCCGTCAAGTTTCTTTCTACCTCTGTGATACGTCCTTCCATCTTAGTACGAGTGTATTTCATCCAGCGACCGACGCGCTCTGATACCACTGTAAGAACTCTTCCAGGTTTGTATTGAAATCTAGTAAGAGAATAGTATTCAAGAAACAACTGAAGCTTTCATTAATGGTGGAAAGTGTACAGAGAACTCCCAAGAAACGAGATACCAATATCTCAGCTTCTCCCAGCCCAGAGTCCAACTGTCTAACCCCCTCCTCTATTTCCCCCAGTCTATTCTATTTATACTACTCTCTAGCTATTACTCTTCTTATTTACTCTTATTCTACCAGGTCCCTAAGAGTATATTCTCTTTTCTACTTCTTCATTTACTCTTCTTAATATATTCTTGGGAAAACTCTCAAATAGGCCCTCTTACTTTGTCCAATTCCTCAATTAAGCCCTTGTACTTATTTATCACCCAATTAAACACCTGAACTCTTAAAAAGTGTTCAATTAAGCTACACGCGTGGCAGTCCACGTTAACGGAAATTAGCTACACGCGTGGCAGTACACGCGTGGCAGTCCACGTGGACTGCCACCCGAACTCTCAATTAGCAGGTAACCAACCAGTTTCCTGGTTAGCTACACGCGTGGCAGTCCACGTGACGGACACATGTCATTTTCCTTTTTTCCTTTTATTTCTTTCTCTTTTTTCTTTTCCTCTTCTTTCTTTCTTTCTTTCTTTCTTTCTTTCTCTTCCTTCCCCAGTGGTAGGCCATAGGCCTGCAACATTTGTCTCCCTTTGTCTTTCCTTTCTCCCCCTTCCTTCCTTCCTTCCCTACTTGCCTAGAATTTCCGGCCGTCCCTTTCTTTCTCGACAGCGTGTTCTTCTGCGGAGACAACGAGGGCGGAACAAAAGCGCATAGAATGGCGATTCGGGTCGGGTTGGAAGGGTTAGACGGAATGAAGCTGGACGGCAGCGTCCTCAACTTCCTGTTTTCTAGGGAAAGGATCCGATGGGCGAAGAAGGGGAAGTCGCGACGGTAAGGGGTCACTCACAGAGCTGGACGACCCGTTTTTAAACCTAGCCGTGGACCCGGTATTCAGGAATATGGAGTGCAAGAAGATGAGATGGTGTAATTTAGGTTGAGATTTTCTGGCAACATTGAGGAGGACTTCGATTGGCAGTAGGTTCCACCGGTGAAGATCGACGGTGGCCACCACCTTCGTCTCTACTCGATTTCCGGCGAGATTGGTATGCTGTGATGCTCCTCCTTGTAGTCTGGCGTGACATTCTGGGAAGAAGAGGGAGGTAGTTGTACAAGAAAGATGGAAGAAAGGAAGATGTCATTCATGAAAATGGTAGTTGGCAGTCCAGGAGAATGATGAATTAAGCAAGGGGAACTGCTGCGGTGGAACTGCCATGTAGTATGCCACGTGGACTGCCACGCGGGTAGCTAACCGGGAAACTGGTTGGTTACCTGCTAATTAGCTTAATTGAACACTTTTTAAGAGTTCGGGTGTTTAATTGGGTGATAAATAAGTACGAGGGCTTAATTGAAGAATTGCCCAAAGTACGAGGGCGTATTTGAGAGTTTTCTCTATATTCTTTTTCCTGCCTTTTCAATTACCCTATACTATCCCTACTATTTTCTTCTTAAAAACCACAAAAAACCCAAGGAGACTATTAATTAAGAACATGTAAGGGTATAAGAAAAATTAATCACTTTTTGGTATAATTAAAATGGCTAATAAAAGTGAGGGGGTATAATTACAGCCACTTGGCCTAACATTTGTTAATGGCTGGCGGTGCAGTTAGAAGCTCCCGTTGCCAGAGTTTGTGGGCTGGACACTCCTTTTCCCCTTGTTTTCGAACCTTTTTATATGCCGACAAAGAATAAGGTCAGTCTTGGAATTCCATTCCTCGCTAAAGCTTTCTTTTTATGTGACTGCTAAAGGTCCTTTTGCTTATGTACAGATACTGGATGCAATCAAAGCCACTGTAAATTACTAGTGCGGATGATTATTTTGGTCAATGGATGAAGACGACATATTATCTTTTTTTTACATTACCTGATTCGGCGGTGTCTCTGCCCATCAGGGAAAAATTTATTTTTATTTTATAAATAAATAAATGCTACATTATTTGTTTAACCCCTTCATGATGGAAGGGAGATATTTTATAAAAGGGATAATTCCCCTCAAATGAAACTTTAATTGCAAGAATAGGACTATCTTTCTAATCATACCCTTGCTTTGTTTTGATACAATTCATATTTCATTAATAATTTAAGCATAAAAGTAATAACATAACATTAAAAAAACACGAAAATAAATATTAAATAAAATTAATAAATATAAAGAATTCAAAGAAAGAAATAAATAAATAAATTAAAAATGTTAAAAATAATAATATGTGTCGTATTGCCATCTTGATGGCATTTTTAGAGAAAAATTTGACATTTTCAAAGAGTTCAAAAATAAAATGACATTTTTTCTGTCGACCAGAGGTGACATTACTGGGAGGTGGTAGAGGTGGTGGGAAAAGCCTCCATTTTTTAAATATATTTTAATGTGTTTTATCTAGTTTTTTACTTATTTTTAAATTTTTAATGTTTTTATTTTTTAATATTTTTATTTTATTATTTTTTAAAAATATTTTAAATTTTTTATATTTTTTACGATTTTATTATAAACTAAAATATATTTTATTTTTTTATGTTTCTATTACATCTTAAAATATGATTTTTCTATAAAATTATGGTAAGAATATAATAGGAATATAGAGTATACTTTAGTTCTATTTATGGAAGATAAACAATATCATCCTGCTTGTATATTTTGGGATTACTTTATTTCTATTTAGGACTATTTCCCTTTATAAAAACATAGACAATAGATCACATCAATATTGGAACAATGAAGTTTATTTCGTTGTTGCATAGTCCACTATCTAATCAGTGGTTTTTCAATAATTATTACGGATTTTTTTTACATGGATACATGAATATGGTATTTTAAACATTTGATTGAGACGCGAGCGTTCTTCCCTTCTCCGGTGCGTCTATATACAATATTGAAACACGGAAGGGGCTGGCCGAGTACTGCTCGTGCTTAGGGATGGATTCGGTTCGGGCCACTCGGCCCGTGATCTGGCCCGGCCCGGTACTGTGCGGGACCGGCCCGGTCGGGCGGTCCGGGACCGGGTATGGACCCGAACCGGTGGGAAGGGGCGGGGCGGGCTCGGTGCTGGATTATTGTGACCCGGCTCGGCCGGGTCGGGCCCGGGTCCGGGTCTAATTTTTTAAAAAAAAAAATTGGTTTGGGCTACTAGCCGTTGGGGGTGGGGCTGGGGACAACCCAAACGGCTATATAGCCGTTGGGTGGGGTAAAGGGGGGTCCGGGGGGTTGGCTGGTGGGGGGGGGTGGTGGGGGGGTGGGGGTAAAAAAACCTATAAATACTCCTAATCTTGAACATTTTTTCATATCTCTTCTCCAATTCTTCCTAAATCCTATTCTTAACTCTCTACTCTCTAATTCTCTTATTCTCCAATATATTATATTTATTATTTATATATCTACTTTATAGTTTATACTTAAGAAGTTAAGATGGAAAATCAAGATGCCATTATACGGTATAATTTTGATAAGCAGAAGGACCCGAAGACCGGGATGTGGTACGCAATTTGCAAATGGTGCGAGAAAAAATGTAGCATGGGGGTTTCAGGCGGATTCGGGATGGCAATCAAACATATGAAGTCATGTGACAAAGTCAAAGGATCGGGAGGTGCGGGAAGTTCCGATTGATTACAATTTTCAAAATGTTTTATCTCTTAAAGTTTGTTTTAATTTTCAAATGTAGTTCCTATTTCATTTCAAATAAATGCAATTGAAGTTTGTTTTTAATACTCGTATAAAATTATAAACTATAAAATATAAATTATAAAAAAAAATTAACCGGCCCGGCCCGAACCGGACCCGACCCGTGACCCGGGCGGGTGGCCCGGCCCGAACCGGACCCGTCCAACCCTCGGACCGGTCCCGGGCCCATGTCATACTACCCGGCGGCCCGGCCCGGGCCCGACCCGGCCCGAGTCCATCAATACTCGTGTTAGGGCTTGGTTTGTAGCACGAGCAGTACGTGGTGAGTCTAGTGACTAAGGAAATCCTTTGGCTATAATGAGTCTAGTGAAATGGTGAAGAGTACAGTGACAGTCAGTAAGAAATCTATGTTGCTCGTTTGGTGATCAACGATTCACGATGTTTCTATGGAGGTGGCTGTCTCAGAGTCTGATCCTAGAATGTTTCTTAAGTCTAGATGGAGCTTTTTGAAAGATAGGTGGAGCATTGCGAGATGTTGGATGCTTGTAACTTTTGAATCAATTGGAATTTATAATACAAGTTTTCTTTCAAAAAAGAAGTTTATTTTGTTGTTCATTTGTGTCAAATTCATTTTTGAGCTCTAAGTGTAATTATTAAGAAGTGACGAGTCTCATTTTTTGGAGGGTGTGATTTTATATTATAGAGTATTTTTTGGAAAAAGGTGACTTATATCAAAATAAGAGAACGTAAGCAGGAAACAAATAGACAAAGAGCTCACTGTCCATCATCCGCTCTTGAACCAGACTAAGAACCTGTCACCTCCAAAGAAGTAATCAGATTCGTTGATCCTGAGTTGAGCATACGGGAGTCAATGACTGGTAAAGTAGACTAGCGCGGTTAACGAGCCGAGCCCGAACACCCAAAGCTTGAGTTCGGCTCGATAAGGAATTAGTGATGTTCGGGTTCGAGCTCGAAGCTTGGCGAGTGTTGGATAATTGATACCCATATTGTATAAACAGGAGAAATTGAACAAGAATGGGGAAGAAATAATGAAAGGTATAGAAAGAATGAATATTTGTTATGGTTTACAAGCCTCTTATAAGGAGTATATATAGGGAAAATCCGGGTCTGGGCCTGTAATATGGGCCTGACAGACCCGGTTACATAAATGGACTGATAGTATAAAAAGCTAATCTAGAACATCTTAATAATAATAATGTACAATAATATGAATCCGCTAAACGTGTGTGGGCCGCTGTCCAGACCCAGTAGTCGGCATACCGGGGGGTCGGAGTCCATATACTCCATCAGGAGTCCCCCACTCCCTGAGTCGAGAGTACTCGAGGCGAAAGGGAGTAATCCAAATTGTATCTGCAACGTTCTTCTGTCTTTGGTTTCTTCCTTTTCGGTTGGGGGACCACCACCCTTGTCCATGATGGGGAGGTGCCTCGTTAAAAACCTTTACTAGGAAAAAACCCAGTGGGAAAAAATCCTAATAAAGTGAAAAAGAGTACACCTAGCGCCCCCAACATGAAATAAGGAAGGCAGGCCCCCTCTGACATAATCACTTTTGTCTATCTCAACCCGTCTTCATCTGACTCATCTCTCGTTCCTGCTCATGCGTGATATTTTCTCCTCATCTAGAAACTCTGACCCCTCAGTCCCTCAGTCCCCACTCTTTGAGGCGAGTGGAGACGAGGTGAAAATGAGTAAAGTCATCTTTGTACCTACACATTTAACATACATATAAATTTTTTCCTTGGGATTTATATTCCCGATCGGGCGTTCGTCACTTGAAACAAGTGGAGATGTGAATGGTTAATGTAATGATAAAATACTTAGTAGAATGGATGTGTGAGCCATTCGTAAGCAACGGTCGCCACTCGAGGAATGACTAAGACCGGTCTTCGTGCCCGACTTGGTCGGGGCTTTGTCTTCGTGCCCGACTTGGTCGGGGCTTTGTGCTTGATCATGGTCAGGGCTTTAAATCCTAGTGATGGGTCTCAAGCCACACTCTACTAGGCATTTGATCATAAGTGCGTGATAGTGTGATATTTAACCGACAAAAAATATTGATTAAAATAAACATAAATAATATTAAAATTAAAGATACGTATCTTTTGAAGCGTAGACTCGGCCGAGAATTTGGTGCACTTTGATTTTATTCCTTCCTCAATTTTGACCTGGTCAAAGCTCTCAAAGCCTTGTCCGCCTCTCCACCCAATCTTCAAAAGGGATTGGTCTTCCCTTGGCCTAAAAAATGCGGACGTGGTCTGCTTTAGACCAAAGCATTTATGCGGAGTGTATTTTTTAGAACAGGCAGGTGGAGCATCTTTCTACCAACCCAACGCAGTCCCTACATGCCGGCCACTTCCTGTTAGTGGAGATGGTGGTCGCAGCAGGGCAAGGACGGTCTGAACGGCTAGTCTCCGGCACAAGATCGACTGAAACACGTCTTCCCTGACCTCCCAATCGCCATCAATGGCGAAATCAAGAAACCCCAGTCGGAAAATCCCTCAGGCTGCGTTGGCAGAGTGGACGGTGAGGGCTCGAACAGAAACTGACCTCGTGGAGGAGCGTCCTACGGTGGACCGCTGACGACGAGTGGTGGGGTGAAGACTCGGTGGTAGAACCAGTTGCCAGCGACCGAGTTGCAGATCTGGGCACTGCAGCGAGCTTCGTCTGGTGCAGGTAGGCTCCTCAAGTTGCGACCTGCCCACGCTCTCTTCAGGTTGGCTTCGGCACGAGAACAGAGCTTCTCAACGACCGTTAATGGCAGCAGGACAAAAAGAGTTTTGAGCTCCGCGAGAAAGCTGCGCGTCTCCGACCGTCGAGCTGCAACTAGGGACCTGGAGATGCGGCAACGAGATCTGGAGCCATGGCTGTGAGATCTGGATAGCAGCCTGGCAGCAACTTCGCGGCGGCGAGATCTGGGAATGGGCGGTGAGGCGCGCGTAGCAGCAACGGCAGACCGGCTTCAACCGACTCGACGGCCTGGGTAGCGGCGACCTACGGTGAAGACGGGAAAAACGGTAAATGCTCCTATTTGAGATCGGAAGTGCATCCCCTGGCCATCCTTCGAACAGATCCGGTGATGGGGTGGACGTGTGAGGTCTGGAGCGACACACTCAGAACATCGCGGTGAACTCGAATTGGCGCAGTGAGCTTCAAGAGTGCGGTGGTGGCAGAAGACGGCGGTTCGGATCTGGGAAAATCCAGATTTTGCTTCTTTTCCATTTTTTCTTGAATTTTCACAGCAGCTTCCTTGCTGGATTTCTTGTGATCAGGGAGATTTTTTTTAGTTGTTTTTGGGAGGTTTTCTCACTTGATGTGTTCAAACCTTTCAATGAGAGCACCATTGTTGGATAATTGATACTCATATTGTATAAACAGGAGAAATTGAACAAGAATGGGGAAGAAATAACGAAAGGTATAGAATGAATGAATATTTGTTATGGTTTACAAGCCTCCTATAAGGAGTATATATAGGGAAAATCTGGGTGTGGGCCTGTAATATGGGCCTGACAGACCCGGTTACATAAATGGACTGATAGTATAAAAAGCTAATTTAGAACATCTTAATAATAATAATGTACAATAATATGAATCCTCTAAACGTGTGTGGGCCGCTGTCTAGACCCAGAAGTCGGCATACCGAGGGGTCGGAGTCCATATACTCCATCAGCGAGCTTTACAAATGAGGTTCGTGTTTGGCTCGGTAGGCGTTCGATGTTCGAACCGAGCGCTCAATAAGCTTGATAAATATGCTTGAATTTAAAATTTAAGGTGATGACTTATGATCATTAATAGGCTCGTGCTCGATTGATTCGACAAGTATTCGGTTCATTAATAATCATATTTAAATTCATAAAATCATACTAATTATATTTAAATTTTGACATATATATAAATTATATTTATAATTTCAGGGTGTTCGATAGGCTCGAGTTCGAATTGAGCCGAATACTACTATGTTCGAGCTTGGCTCGATTAATTTTTCGAACTTAAAACTCAGTTGGGGTTCGCGTTTGAAAGCTCGTTAAGCTCGACTCGTTAGGTTCGAAACCAAGCTCGAACTCAAATAGTTCAATAAAAGCTCGGTTCTTTAACAACTCTTAACTAGACTCCACATCATCTGTCTTATGTTCTAGAGTTTTAACGTTATTAAAATTAAAACAATCAAAACCAAAAATGTTCTTCAACCACGTAGTTTGCGGAGAAAACCAAAAATAAAAACAGCAAAACTAAATTAAAATGTTCTTCAACCAACATAAAGCACCAGATCTTCATGGGTTTTGGCATGTCTGGTTGTTCCAGCCCGCCTCTTCCCTGTTTTTTGCCCTATCGAGAGCCATACCACCCCCCTCTAAATCTTCTTGCTCTTGTGCTTCCCAGGTGCGCCTTCTCTTCTGATCTCCTGGTCCACTTTCACTCTGTCCTGCTCCATCTCTGGTCGTTGACACCACTTGTCCCTGGGCCTATCTTCTGCGTGGCTCTGGCTCTCCCCATGCTCCTCTTTGTTGAAACTTGTCTGCTATGTTGGCCCCTTCCATATTTCCATGAGTTACCTTCGCTCACAAGCCACTTGTTGACCAACGAATGGTGAGTTCTCCCTCCTCCCGCACGCAATCATGGTCCAAATGATTTAACGAAGGTCGTATCCCCTTTCTCATACATGAGTGGGCTCCGCACAGTATCAGACCGGATCGGGTCTCAGGTCAGGCTGACCCTTCCCAATCTATCCCTTCTTGATTGTATGATAATTGAGTTGGGGTTGTTAATTGACGACCTTTTCGTGATAGTATGATACATATGTGACAATTTTCTCTAAAGGGAGGGAATTGAGTCAATAAGGTTAAATTTAACATATTTATTTTGTTTTACATTTAACATATTTATTTTGTTTATGACCACAGGTCAGCTTCTCCGTCTCCCCTACCCCCACTATAAACTACTTAACCTTCAAAATGTTTTTAACCTTTAAATGTTGTAAACATTTAAGTTGTGCATATTATGAGCTCGTTTGGTAGCACAAAAATAGGTTGATTTGGCTGATTCTGCTGAAATTTACGAAGTTCTGGCTGAAGTAGTTGCATTGGCTGATTCTACTGATTTAAGATAAAAATAATTTTAAAATATATTTTATTAATAAAATAAAGAAAAAATTATATGTAAAAATAGCTAAAATGGTCACTACAATGACTTCAGCCAATACAGTGCGCGAAAGCAAAAGTTACGTGTTTGGTGAAAAATTTGACTGATAAGCCTGATAAACGACCTCTATAATTACAGGAGTGATGTAGTAAAAAAGCACCAACTAAATACATTTACTATTCTTTCAAAAAAAAAACATTTACTACTCCCTCTGTCCCTTAAAACTTTGCCAACTTTCCCTTTTTAGTTGTCCCATTAACTTTGCCACTTTCCCTTTTAAGTAGAGAATTTGTGGTTCCAGCTCATTCTCTCTCCTCTCCTCAAACCTGTATCACACATTTTTTACTTTATTAATCACCGTGCCGGTCAAACTTGGCAAAGTTTTAAAGGAGGGAGGGAGGTTTAAAAAACATCAATTTGATCAAATTACCAGATTGCAACTCCTCATAGCGGTCATTAGATTGGATGATTTGACACATGCTTTTCATTCCTTTTTTTACCTTTTCCTTTTTTCCCTATCTTATACGGAGTACAATACTTCATTACAACAACACAATTAGTCACTATCAGAATCATTATTTTCTACATATACAACATATTCTTCTGTATCAGAACCATCTATCCATTCTTCTTCTTCCTGATATTGAGCATTTTGTTGTTCTTCATGCATTTGAACAATTTCGCGCTCAGATGGAGTTGTTAGGTCTGGAAGGTGCGTTTCTGGCATGACTTCAACACTTCCGCCATTTGGATCACTTAACTGAATGTGATGGTTGACCGTCTCAACAATAGGCGGAGATTGGCAAAATTGTTGCTGAAAAGCATCTAAATCAACATCCTTGTGTTGAGTTTGTGATACAATTTTGCTCGGACGGACAGTACATGCACACACCCAAGGATTCTGTGTCAGCCTGGTTGAAGGGTATTCTGCATAATAAACCTGGGCTGCTTGTTGAGCGAGTATCAAAGGCTCATTTTTCCTATACACGCGAGAGTGGTTGACGTCAATCATATTATACTTTGAATTTTTTCTCACACCACGTGTTGGATCGACCCATTTGCAGCGGCATTTCAAATTCCAGAATCTCATGCAAGATACCAAAAAAATTGGTTTCCGAGTTATCATAACCGATAGTTGGGACACATAATCCACTGTTCACTGTTGGTCGGCCCTATCCGTAATTGACTGTGTGATAGGTGTAACCGTTTATCACATATGACCGCCAAACTTTGGCGTAGGCACCAAGGCCCCACGATAATGATACTAACAGAGGGTCCACAATCCCACGGCTATTGATCTGAAAATTAAAACATGATAACATTGGGTAATAATGAAAAAATATTACTTAATAATATATATAATTAATGTGTGTATATATACCTGATACTTGTACCACGGTACAAAATTAGAGTCCACCATTGCATCAATTTCATTATCAAGGAATGCTGAGAACTCCACTCTAAATTCACTGTGACGTCAAACATGAAAATATTATAAATCAACTACCTTAATTTTTATATATATTACAAATATAACTACAAATTTAACTTACTGGTAAAACGGTAAGATTTCTGGACAATTCATGAGGATATAAGTATGCGCAATTTGTAATTCTCTACCCACGACGTATCAGTTTGTCGCAACTCCTTTACCTCTACCTGGGTAATTGAAAATGGAAACTACATTTTTGTATAAATCCTCGCCAATGTCGTCGTTCCGGGCAGATCTCTTTCTTCTAGTGATGACTTCACGCTCAAAACAAAAAGATGAGAACGTTGAGATTTCTTGTTGAAGATACACTTGACAAATTGATGTCTCAACGTGTGCCTTGTTGGTCACTTTCTTTTTCAACTCTCCAAGAAATCTGCAATGTAAAATAAAAGTGGTAAACAGATTAATGTTGTTATGAAATAAATATTCAAAGATAAATGAAATTGTGACTAACCTTTCAAATCTGTACATCCAGCGATAGAAGACGGACCCACCATTCAAAGTCTCATACGGAAGATGTATTACAAGATGTTCCATTCCATTGAAAAACGATGGAGGCATTATCTTTTCCAAATGACACATCAGCATGGGAACAGACTCTTCTAGTCTCCGGAAGGATGTTGCATCCAAAACGCTGGAACATATCGACTGAAACAACAAATTGATCTCAGTAATACAGGACCATACGTGTTCAGGAAGCATCTCTTTCCGTGCAATTGGGAGAAGTCTTTGCATGATTACATGAGCATCGTGAGTTTTCATGCTTAACGTCGTTGTAAGTTTGTTCATGTCCACGCATCTGGACAAGTTGGAGCAGTAGCCATCTGGAAACTTCAGAGACACAAGCCATTGTAATATTGATTCCTTTTGTGCTTCTGTGACTTGGTAGACTGCTTTTGAAATAGTGTTACCCTGATATTCTAGATCAACAGAAAGTTCGGGTCTGTCACACCAAATAGTCATATCTTTTCTAGATGCAAGACCGTCTTTAGTTTTGCCTTTGAAATCCATCACTGTGTTAAATATATTGTCAAACACGTTCTTCTCAGTGTGCATGACATCTATATTGTGACGAATGAGAAGGTCTTTCCAATATGGTAACTCCCAAAATATACTCCTCTTTGTCCACTTATGGGTATCACAAAACTCATATGGCTTCTTATTTGGCTCTTGCACAGCCATAGAAATACGTCGAACCCGGTTAAAAATTGCTTCCCCGGTCAATCTCGGGGGGCTCGTACCACTCTACCTCTAATGAAAGACTTTTTGTCCTTTCGATATCGGTGGTTTTCCGGGAGAAACTTGCGGTGACAATCAAAGTATCTTGGTTTTTTACTGAAAGTTAGCCAATTGGCACCTGATTTCTCTATGCATATTGGACATCCCATAAGATCATGTGTGCTCCACCCCGAAAGCATGTCATAGGCAGGGAAGTCGTTAATGGTCCAAATGATGGCAACTTTCATGATAAAATTTTGATCCCTTGAAACATCATAAGTTGGTGTCCCAATGGCTCAAAGTTCTATCATCTCCTCGATAAGGGGTTGGAGATAAATGTCTATCTTTTTTCCTGGATCATTGGGACCCGGACAAATTAAAGTCAAAAAGATAAAGTGAGTTTTCATGCACATGTCGGGAGGGAGATTGTAAGGAGTTAACATGACCGGCCAACATGATTAGTTCTTCCCAAACCTTCCAAATGAAGATAATCCGTCTGAACACAATCCCAGTCGCACATTTCGTGGCTCCATTGCAAACTGAGGATGACAACGGTCAAAGTGTCTCCAAGCTTCACAGTCCGAAGGGTGAGACATCATACCCACTTTGGTTTCGTGCTCAACATGTCATGTCATGTGTTTCACAGTAGCAGTCCAAGCGTACATCCTCTGAAGTCGTGGAGCTATTGGGAGGTAATACAGTTTAGATAATGCCGACCTATTTCGTGGTTTCTTTTTACTTTGAAGAACATGTTTGTATCTGTTTCCACCACAGAACTTGCAGAATTCAAGTGCCTCATCATCCTTCCAGAACAACATACATCCTTCCGGGCACGCATCAATTTCTATATAAGGTAGTCCCAACTTAGACATTAATTGTTTCATGTGGTAATATGAATCAGGGAGGTTATGATCACGTGGTAGCATCCCGCCTACTGACTGCAAGACTCTAGTCATGCAAGTTTCAGGGAGACTGTATTCAGCTTTTATGTTCATAAACTCTGTAACGGCGGATAGCTGAGAGTATCCCTCACAATCATCATACAGGGGTTCATCGACTGCTTTTAAAACACCTTGAAATCTCTCAGCTAAACCTTCATCCACATAAGGTTGATAAAATATCGGATTTTCATCCTCATCTGGTTGATATGAGGTCGAGGCTTCAGGAGGATCGTTAGATGGTTGTGGGGGGTTGAACTGAGACATCGATGCATCGTATGTGTCATATACCATACGTTGCACCCATCTCATTTCAGTAGGGTCTCCCCACGCACTCATCTCTGCAAGGACGTTACGAGACGAACCTACCGTTTGTGGTAAAACAGATGGATCCAAAGGTTCACCATGAGAAGTCCAATTATAATAATTGGGAACGAAACCGTCCGCGTACAAATCCCACCCAACTTCGTCTGAGTGTTTAAATTTGAGATTTTTACACTTTAAAAATGGACATCTGATTTGATTCAAGTGCGAATGCAATAAACTCCTCAACTACTTCAAGAAAATTTGATTGCATTCCGTACAATACTGCATGTTTATCATACATCCAAATTCTATTTTGTCTATGCATTATGCTTGAATATTATAATAAAAAAATTATACAGGTTAAAAACTCTAAATTATAAACATTACCAACATATGTGGAGTGTTATTAATATATTAAATTTCACTAATTAAAGTTCGATGCAATTAATTCACTAGATGAACTAATATGTTCATATAATATCATTAATCATTTCAATTATTAACTAATAACCAATATTATGATTTCAACATTAAATACAATAAATTATCACGTTAATGACATTAATTAATTCATAAACATTAACAATAATTTTTTATATGTAGGAACATTTATATATTAAATTTCAATAAAATTCCCTTAAAATTAACTAACGTCCAATTAATATTATTAAACTATAAACATGCACAATACGTTAATGGCATTTAATCCACAATACTAAAATTATCAACATCTTAATCTTATTAATAATGCACATTTAACAATTCACTAAATTAAATAATATGAGCAAATCCAATAATTTGAGCATATATGTATATATATAAACTCATTTAAATTAAATAATACTTAAATTTAACTAATATTATAAAAAATTTAACTAATTTACGTAATTCACGATCAACATTCATCATACTTAAGTAATGTTTCAATTAACTGACCCTAATTTAAATCATTATAAATCCTAAATTAGGTATTAACAATAATTGCTAATAAAGAAATCCTATAATTATATTTAGCCATATATAAACTCATTTGAATTAAATAATACTTACATTTAACTAATATCATCTATAATTTAACTAATTTACGTAATTTTAATTAAATACAACTTAATTAACCCTATGTTTAAATTACACCTACGTTTAACTAATTTTAAGGAATTTATTTCGTTAATTAATTAACAACCTTTATTTAAATGCATTTAATTTAAATTTAACTAATATTAACAAAAAATTAACTAATTTAGCTAATTAATTAATTTAACATAATTAAACCTACGATTAAACCTACGTTTAACTAACTAATTTTAGTAAAGTGTGAAGAAGGTCCGCCATGGACGGCAGGGGAGGCACTGCGGAAGTCGACCACGGCCGAGGACCGGCACCGGTGGGAGTGCAGATCCAGCAGACTCAGCGGCTGCCGGATTTTCTCCAGAGCGTGAACTTGAAGTACGTGAAACTAGGTTACCACTACTTGATTTCTCATCTGTTAACTCTGTGTCTTATTCCTGTGATGGTCGTTATTATTATCGAGGCCTCTCAGATGAATCCAGATGACATTCGCCAGTTATGGCTTCATTTGCAGTACAATCTCGTTTCTGTGATAATCTGCTCCACCGTTATGGTCTTCGGATCCGCGGCTTATATCATGACCCGGCCGCGGCCGGTGTATTTGGTTGATTACTCTTGTTATCAGCCTCCGGATAACCTCAAGGCTACCCATCATCGGTTCATGGATCACTCTAGGCTCACGGGAGACTTTGATGATTCCAGCCTCGAGTTTCAGCGTAAGATCTTAGAGCGGTCTGGCTATGCACTGCGTCCCCCCCTCAGGCGTCTATGCTGGCCGCCAGGGAAGAGGCAGAGCAGGTCATGTTTGGTTCATTGGATAATTTATTTGCGAATACCTGTTTGAAACCCAAAGATGTAGGCATACTCATTGTAAATTGTAGCCTGTTTAATCCAACTCCGTCACTTTCTGCTATGACTGTGAATAAATACAAATTAAGAGGCAATATGAGGAGTTTCAACTTGGGGGGTAGTGCAGGTGTGATTGCTGTTGATCTAGCCAAGGACTTGTTGCAAGTGCACAGAAAACATCACTCAGAATTGGTATTTTGGGAATAAGAAGTCTATGCTGATACCGAATTGTTTGTTTAGAGTGGGAGGTTCTGCTGTTCTTTTATCTAACAAGTCAATAGACAGGAGAAGAGCAAAGTATAAGCTTGTTCACGTCGTGAGGACTCACCGAGGGGCCGATGATAAGGCCTTCCTTCCGTTGTGTTTACCAGGAGCAGGACGAAAACGGCAAGACAGGAGTTTCCTTGTCAAAAGAACTAATGGCAATTGCTGGTGGTACACTTGAGACCAATATCACCACACTTGGTCCCCTCGTGCTGCCAATCAGCGAACAGCTTCTCTTCTTTTCTACATTGGTAATCAAGAAATTATACAACCAGAACATCATGCCATATATTCCAGATTTCTGCATACATGCTGGGGGGAGGGCGGTGATTGATGAGCTGGAAAAGAATCTCCAACTCCTTCCAACACACGTGGAGGCCTCCCGAATGACACTACATCGATTTGGTAATACTTCATCCAGCTCTATCTGGTATGAGCTGGCATATACTGAGGCCAAGGGAAGGATGAGGAAAGGACACAGAGTGTGGCAGATCGCATTCGGGAGTGGTTTCAAGTGTAACAGTGCTGTTTCGCAAGCACTTCGATCGTAACGTGAGGCCATCCACTAAGAGTCCATGGGAGGATTGTATTGACCGGTATCCAGTCAAAGTAGTGTTGTAGCGCAATATGTTATGGTAACTCTTGATAACTGGTATACACTTCTCCCAATCTGTTATTCGCTGTGCTGCTTGTGGATCCTTTTTTTCTGTTCCATAGGGTTTGTACTCTCGGTTTTTATCTTCCCTTTCTTTATCCAGTGTTTAGATTTTTAAAAAAAAAACTAACTAATTTTTCACTAAATTAAATGAAATTGACATAATTCGTTACTTAATTAACAATCTCTCTAATTTAACAGTTTATTACACTTAAAATGAACCAACTAATTCATACAAAAAAATACGTAATTCAAATTACATACCTTATCTGCATAAACAGGGAAAATGATATAAGATGTCTAGATTACATCCTTCAATTCTATCTGGAATACCTTGTGTGGTTCTGTTGAATGAATCTGATGCTGCATATATAAAATATTTAGTCAGGGACGTAGTCACGGATGTGTCCGTGACTACGTAAATTCGTACGATATATCAGTACACTTCAACTTTGGAGCGTTTGAAAAATTTATTTTGGATCTTATCAGTGACTAAGTTTAGTCACGGAATTAGTCACGGATTCGTCCGTGACTAATTTCAAATTAAAAAAAACGTCGGAGGCAAAATTGGGTTGGCCGGAATAGGTTAGTCACGGATATAATCTGTGACTACCTCCGTGACTACAGGTAGTCACGGACGTAGTCACGATCATATCTGTGACTATTTTTTTTTTTTGAAACAATTCGTGACTAGCCCGTGACTAGAACCATGACTAAGGGGGTGTTTGGAACTGATTCTGATTCTGCTTCTTTTTTAAAGCATAAGCAGAATTAGAATCAGTTTTCAGAAGTTGGTCACCCCTAGCTTCTAAAAAAATTGATTTTAGGAGTAAATTAGAACACCAGAATCACTTCTGCACTTTTACCCAAACACTCCAATTTCTGCTTCTGCTCCCTAAAGGAGCTAGTGGTGGACTCGGGCCGGGTCGGGCCCGGGCCAGGCCTAGGCCCGGTCGGGCCGCCGGTTTGTATGACATGGGCCCGGGACCGGCCCGAGGGTTGGACGGGTCTGGTTCGGGCCGGGCCACCCGCTCGGGTCACGGGTTGGGCCACCCGCCGGGTCAGGTCGGGCCGGTTAAAGATTTTTTTTTATAATTTATATTTTATAGTTTATAGTTTTATACAAGTATTAAAAATAAACTTCAAGTGCATTTATTTGAAATGAAATAGGAACTACATTTGAAATTTAAAACAAACTTCAAGAGACAAACATTTTGTAAATTGTAATCAATCGGAACTTCCCGCACCTCCTGATCCTTTGGCTTTGTCACATGACTTCATATGCTTCATTGCCATCACGTATCCGCCTGAAACCCCCATGCTACATTTTTTCCCGAACCATTTACAAGTTGCGTACCACATCCCGGTCTTCGGGTCCTTCTGCTTATCAAAATTATATCGTATAACGGCATCTTGATTTTCCATCTTAAGTATAAAGTAGATATATAAATAATAAATTAGTAGAGAATAGAGATTAGAGAGTAGAAATATTTGGAGAAGATGTGTAGTAAATTGTATAGAAAAAATGGAGTATTTATAGTTTTTTTGTACCCCTACCCCCCCCCCCACCCCTGGACCCCAGGAAGGCTCCCAACGGCTATATAGCCGTTTGGGTTCAATCACAACGGCTCTAAGGGCCTGTTTGGTAGCCAAAAGATTATTTTTTTAAAAAAATATAGCCGTTGGCCCGAACCGGCCGGGCCGGGCCTTCCTTTTTGTGAACCGTGCCCGAACCGCTAGACTCCCCCGGGCCGGGTAAAAGCCCGCACCGCCCATTCCGTAATTGGGCCGGGCCGTGCCCGCACAGTGGCGGGTCGGGTCGGTTCAGGGCCGGGCCGACCCGGTTTGGTCCATCCCTAAAAGGAGCAGAAGCAGTTTTAAGAATCAAATCCAAACACCCCCTAACTAGTCACGGACCAAATCCGTGACTAGTGTCCGTGACTACAGGCGAATTTTTTTGTAGTGCAAACAAAAGAATGAGGATGGATTATATATATTAATGAAAAGTCAAAATCAAAATAGAAAAATAATTTTAGATCTCCTTCTAACTTTCTAAGATTTTTTAGATTTAAATAAAAGAAGTAAAGTAAAAAAAGGAGAAAAATTTATATTCAATCGTTTTCGACAATGGAGTTCAACACGATATTTAAAGGAAAAATAAAAAAGATAATGAATAGTATAGAAGTAGGATAGATGATGGAAAAATATGAAAGATAACATGAAAGATAGGAAAAGTAAAAATAATTTAAAAAAGAGAAGTGAAGTAAAATGGGAAGAGAAATTTGTACTCCATACATTCCGAAGACGAAAAATAAAAATAAAGAAAAGAACAAAAATGAAGAGAGAAAGCTAGCCCGGGAACTATGTATATACGGACTATGGCGTATGAAGTGTGAACTATGAAGTATTGTACTTAGGGTTGGATTCGGTTCGGGCCACCCGGCCCGTGACCCGGCCCAGCCCGGTACTGTGCGGGCCCGGGACCGGCCCGGTCGGGCGGTCCGGGACCGGGTCTGGGCCCGAACCGGGGGGAAGGGGCGGGGCGGGCTCGGTTCAGCATTTTTGTGACCCGGCCCGGCCGGGTCGGGCCCGGGCCCGGGTCCGGTTCAATTTAAAAAAAAAAAATTGGTTTGGGACTTTGGGCTCCTACTAGCCGTTGGGGGTGGGGCTGGGGACAACCCAAACGGCTATATAGCCGTTGGGTGGGGTAAAGGGGGGGTCCGGGGGAGTTGGGTGGTGGGGGTGGGGTGGGGGGTAAAAAAACCTATAAATACTCCTAATCTTAAACATTTTTTCATATCTCTTCTCCAATTCTTCCTATTCTTATCTCTCTACTCTCTAATTCTCTTATTCTCCAATATATTATATATCTACTCTCATATTCTCTTCTCCAAGAAGTTAAGATGGAAAATCAAAATGTCATTATACGGTATAATTTTGATAAGCAGAAGGACCCGAAGACCGGGATGTGGTACGCAATTTGCAAATGGTGCGAAATAAATGTATAATGGGGGCTTCAGGCGGATTCGGGATGGCAATCAAGCATATGAAGTCATGTGACAAAGCCAAAGGATCGGGAGGTGCAGGAAGTTCCGATTGATTACAATTTTCAAAATGTTTATCTCTTAAAGTTTGTTTTAATTTTCAAATGTAGTTCCTATTTCATTTCAAATAAATGCAATTGAAGTTTGTTTTTAATACTCGTATAAAACTATAAACTATAAAATATAAATTATAAAAAAAAATTAACCGGCCCGGCCCGAACCGGACCCGACCCGTGACCCGGGCGGGTGGCCCGGCCCGAACCGGGCCCGTCCAACCCGCGGGCCGGTCCCGGGCCCACTTTTCTTGAACCGGCGGCCCGACCGGGCCTAGGCCCGGCCCGGGCCCGACCCGGCCCGAATCAATCACTAATTGTACTCCGTATAAGACAGGAAAAAAAGGAAAGTGTATAAACATGGGTCAAATCAAATCATCCAATCCAATGACCGGCTATGAGGAGTTCCAATCCGATAATTTGATCAAATTGATGTTTTTTTAGTTGACGCTTTTTTTAGTACAACAGTTGAAGTGATGTATTGAATATAGTACAAGGGTGTATTTAACCCTTTTTTCCTTTAAAATATATGCACTCGACGGGCATATATCTGTATTTCTAGAAAGCATGCAGGCTGACGGATATGATAATAAAATTCTCCGTAAATGATTAATGAGGTAGGAATAGCTGATACAAAATGACAATGCCTACTACTACAAAAACTTCACTACAACATTATAATAATTACTACTACTATTATCATCATCATAATATATACAACTACTATAATAATAGTTACTTTGTTCATCATAACGGAAATACCTTTTTAAAGGCTTATTGCCAACAAAGCATCTAATCTTGTTTACTGATTTGTAGTAAAAAAAACTTCTCATTAATTATGTTGAGTCGATGACTACTCGATCAGCAGCAACAATTGGTCCAATATCTTTCACAAATGTCCTCAGGCAACCATTGATTATACGCGGGGCAGCCCCATCACAGAACCGTTTTGCAAGATCCACTGCCTTAGAAGACAAGAAGTTTCTGGTTAATTAATTAAACTAAAAATAAAATCAACTACTACGTATAAAACAAAAAAGGTCAAACGAGTAAAAGCACGTGCAATTGTCATGTCATCTAGTTGGCACCCGACTAATGCGTATCTATTCATATTTTGTTGTGCAACGATATACTCCTTCCATCCCATAAAATTCTTCCCGCTTATCCTTTTTTGACAATTTGTGTGATTCACATTCATTTCACCTTTTTCTTACACAACTACAACCACACATTTCCACTTTATTCCACTTTTTTAATATCCGTGCCAAATCAAAGTGGGAAGAATTTTCTGGGAACACGAGCATCCATCGTGTTTTCCATTAGCTATTCAGCAATGTCTTCTTTTTTGCAAGCCTTTCAAATGATTATTGTGTATGCATATTAAAGTAAAGAACTGGGTACAAAGTGACATGCAGTTACGCTAAGGCAAAGTGCTCAAGAGAAATTACCTCATTGATGACTATTGGGTGTCTAGTTCCTAACACTGCTATTTCAGCCATTGCCAAATGAAGAATTGAAAATTCCAATATTCTCCCAGCTGGTTCACTCTGGAATAAGGAGAGCAATAAGGTTCAATAACTAAAAGTCTATAATACGGAGTATCATCTAATTTCTTTCTAATCCTAAAGACGCTGTATGTGAGAAAAGGAGGATACATGTATGCATCTTAGGGAAATTAGATATCAAGTACAAAAGGCATGACAAATGAGTAAATGGCTAACTGGGAGAAAACTAATGAAAAGTTGAACGTTTCAGCCATTTTTTCTTTGGAAGTTCTTGAGGTGTAAGGCTTAAAGTCGTAGCAAACAATTGATTTCAAAGTTGTCTATTGTCTAATTTTTACAAGTAACAATTATGAGAACATATTCCTAAAGGCCCCAAGGGAGAATCATAAAAACAGAATGATGTTTAATTGTTTATATCCAGACCTGAAAGTCCAAATAAGCTACCCTTTGTCCCAAAATGAGGAGTCCTATTTGAACCAAAGAACCTAGCTTCTAATCCCTTCCATTAAATTTCATGTATTTTTTTTCAAAAAAGTGCCCAAAACAAGTTTAGTATGTTAAACTTATCTAAACCAACATATATAAATTTTAAACTCGTTAGAATTAGTTATTTCAATAGTTGTACCTTACTCAAAGTAAGATGTTCTTAGCGAAATGTGACTTGATATGAAGGAAATGTAACCACCCCCCACCCACCCACAACTCCTCTAGCTCTTGCAGTCTCAAAATAAACTTCTATTTTTCCCTTTCAGGTAAACTTTTTCTCTTTAAGTATTACAGAGTATTTTTACATTTTTTCACCACCATCACATCAACCAATTTTGTAAGATACTGTGTGAAAGACATTAGAATATTCTTTAAAATCCTTTAGAATATTCTTCTATCTTTAGAATATGCTTTAGAATATTTTAGGAATATACTCTAGGATATTATTTTTCCATCATTTGCAATGGAGCCAAAGATTCATTATTTTTTGACTTGAGATTATGATGGAATAAAGCAAAATGGCTCACTAAACTTTCTGCGCTTCTTTGTTATGAAGCAGCAGTCAGTCCATGCAATTTTGGATGGGATTTTCATTATGGGTCATCCGAAAACAATCTCTCTGTGCTTAAGTACAGGGGAAAGACTGCGTACATGCGACCCCCCTTACCCCACCGTAGGTGGGAGCCTTTGCGGCACTGGGGTAAATGAAAATGATACTCTAGGATATTATTGTATAGAATCTTAAAGGAATATTCTATCTTTGCAATGTATATATATAGGGACTTAACCTTCCAATGAAATACACAGAAAATCATTTTCCTTCTCTTGACTATTATTCTAGTTTTTAATTCTTATAACATGGTATCAGAGCCAGTCTGTTCCATTTCAGTTTAGTTTCCATTTATTTTTCTTGCTTTTCTATCGGAACCTCAGTTCACAGAACATCAGCCTACATTGGCCCTCAGAACCTTTGTCCAAAACCTATCTCACCTCCAACCAACACCGGTGCGCCTTCCGCCGGCGACCAGATAGCCAAAATCCGGCCGTCCAAATCACAGCGAGTGAACTTCACGCGCCGCCGGAACTTCTCGCCGTTTACTCACACGCCGGCGCGCGAAGATGACTTTGTTGACCGGAACTTCGAACGCAAACCATCTCCAGACTCGTCTGGGCTTTGTCTAGCAATATCCAGGTATACTTTGCTTTGTTACAATAGTGGAAGCCTGCTTCATTCTTCTAGGATAGGCGTGGTACGGCTTTCCCCTGCCTGTAATATCCTGGCGCTAGAAGAAACGGCTGGGTTCACTTAATTTGGACCATAAAAGGCTGTAAGTTCACTTAATATCTTGTTTTGTAAAAAAAAAAAGTCTGGTTCTGATGCTGACTCTTCCACGGTAACACAAAGTCTGGTTCCCATTAATTTTAAAATTACTGAGAATAAACTTTGTGGCTCCAATTATCTTGAATGGAGTAAAACTATCAAACGTTATTTAAGAAGCATTGATAAATATAGCCACTTAGTTGACGACCTGCCAAAGGAGGAGGTTGATAGAGCTGCTAATGATGCCTGGCTTCGTGATGATTCTAGATTATTTATCCAGATTCAAAACTCTATGGAGAACGACCTCATGGGGTATGTTAGTCATTGTGATACTGTGAAAGAACTATTTGATTATTTGGAATTTATGTATTCAGGCAAAGGTAATCTTAATCACATCTATGAGGTGTGCAAAGCATTTTACAGAGCAGAAATGAAAGATAAGCCTCTCACGGCTTATTTTATGGATTTCAAGGAAACATATGAAGAGCTTAATGCATTAATGTCATTTAGTCCTGACATCAAAGTGCAGCAGAAACAACGAGAACAAATGGCGGTCATGAGCTTTTTGGCTGGTCTTACGACTGATTTTGAAACAACCAAATCACATATCTTGTCTAGTGATGTGGTCTCTTCTCTTCAAGATGCTTTCAGTAGAGTGTTGCGCACTGACACTTCATCCACATCATCAGCACCTCAGCCAAGCAATGCTTTTGTAGGGCAAATCCCAACATACCCTAATGGAGGTGAGAAATGACCACGCACTGAACCGATTGACAAAGGAGTCGTATGTAACTACTGTAAGAAACCCGGGCACTTGATCAAAGATTGTCGAAAGCTAAAGTTCAAAAATCAAGGAAATCAAGTTTCTCACATTGCTTCCGCTACACAGCCATCTAATGGATCCATCATTTGTCTTCTGAGGAATACGCCAAATTCCTTTGCTACCAGGAGGCTCTAAAGCATTCATCTACTCCTATCTCAACTGTCGTTAATTCAGGTAATCCAAACACATGTCTTGTATCTTCATCCTCAAAATGGGTTATCGATTCAGGAGCAACAGATCATATGACAAGTAATCCTAGTCTTTTTTCCTCATTCCACACACCTCTTCATACTTCTAGTGTTACTTTGGCTGACGGATCTACGTCACCAGTTCTTGGTACGAGTACCATTGTCCCGACATCTACCTTACCTTTGTCACCCGTCCTAAATCTTCCAAATTTTGCTTTTAATTTGATTTCGATCAGCAAAATCACACGTAAACTTAATTGTTATGTAACCTTTTTTCCTGGATATTGTGTATTTCAGGATCTCTTGACGAATCGGGTTATTGGTAAAGGATATGAGTCGGCTGGTCTCTATCTCTTGGATACATCCTTACCCAAATCAATCTCTTGTCTTGGGGTTGGAACTGTGTTAGAGGCTCACTATCGACTAGGTCATCTCTTTCTTCCATTGTTAAAGAAACTTCATCCTCAATTTAATAAAGTGTCATCTTTACAGTGTGTTTCATGTCAATTTGCAAAACATCATCGAACTAGTCTAAGTACCCGAGTCAATAAACGAGCACATGCTCCTTTTGAACTTGTTCATTCTGATGTTTGGGGCGCTTGCCCTGTTGTGTCCACAACTGGTTTTAAATATTTTGTTACCTTTGTTGATGATTATTCTCGTATGACTTGGATTTATTTCATGAAACGTCGTTCAGAATTATTTTCTCATTTTTGTGCCTTTTGTGCTGAAATCAAAACTCAATTTAATGTATTTGTTCGTATTTTAAGGGGAGATAATGCTCAAGAATATTTGTCTGCCTCATTTAAGTTGTATATGGCTCAACATGGCATAATTCATCAAACTTCATGTGTAGACACACCTCCCCAAAATGGAGTTGCTGAACGAAAGAACAAACATCTATTAGAAATTGCACGGGCTCTTCTATTCCAAATGAATGTGCCAAAACATTTTTGGACGGATGCTGTGACTACCGCATGTTTTTCTATCAATCGAATGTCATCTACTGTTTTGGATGGTAAAACTCCATATCAGTGCCTATTTCCAAATAATGAAAATTTTCCTGTCCCTCCTAAATTTTCCTTCTAAGATGTTAATCCCCATTTAACAAAGTTAGATCCCAAGTCATTAAAGTGCATTTTCTTGGGCTACTCTAGAGTTCAAAAGGGGTACATATGTTTTTCTCCAAGTACGGGTCGGTATCTTGTTTCAATTGATGTCTCCTTTTATGAAAATACACATTTTTCATCAACAGAGACAAATATTTGTAGGGAGAATGATGATATACTCATTTACACAGTCATTATACCCGAGTCCAATACTTCAGCAGTTCTTCCTGAGCCTAGGCCTCCGGTACACTTGGTATACACCCGTCGACACAAAGTACAAGATCACCCTCCACATGTGGTTACTTCTCCTGATACTAATCCGATCTCGATCTCATGTCCTGAACCGATACCTGCATCTTCAGATCCTGTTTCTACATCAGATCTTGACCTCCCCATAGCTTAATATAAACTTCCTCCTGAAGATACTTCAAATGCACAAATATGTGGATCATTCTTTCCCAACTGCCCTGCTAAGATACTCTGGACTTTTACTCCCTTTTTATCCCCAATAACTTGATCCTGGCTGTCAGAATCAGCAACATACTCCTCCATCCATCTCCTAAAAACAATAATGCTAAACACATTGTCCTCTTCTAACCCCTTTTTATTACCCATCATAGAAGCAATATCCTCACATCTGAAATTATCAAACTTGTTCAATGATTTCAGCCCTTCCAAGGAAATGTTTAATGAATGACAGTATATCATTTCAGATTTTAAAACATTCAGCCAGTTCATCTCCTTTACGCAACTAGACTTGTCAGCATCATGAATCGGTTTGCGGTTTCCAAAAATGTTAGCAGATTCTCCCGAAACAAGCCCAAACTCCTCCTCCTGAGCCTCTGTACCAGATCTATTTTTACCAATGCATAATTTTTCTGAAAATCTTTCCTTTACTTGTAAAGAAAGTTGACTTTTGACAAGAACAGTTTCAGAAGCAATTAGAGCTCTATTTCCAAAAGAACATGGTTGAATAAGCTTGTCAGCAATAGAAACTTGGTTGGAAATTAAATCCACATCCTCTGCAAGATGAGAATAAACATAATCTGGCCCTTGAATAAACTGTCGTTTCTCCTTGATTTCGTCTTTCTTATTCACTTGCTTGATTACATTGGTTCCATCTGAACCTTCTCTGTTGATTGGAAAATTTCTAGCGCTGATTGAGAAGCTTGTGAACGAGAAGTTCTTGGCGGCCTCAATGACTCCTGTTTTGATGATTCTTGCGAACTGAATGAAGAAGTTCTTGATTGCGAACTGGAAGTTCTTCGTGACTTGGATGACTCCTGTTTTGCCGTCTTCCCTGTCTTCTGCCGGTGTCTAGGTGGAAAATCCCTAATCAAATCTTCTTTTAGTGCCTCCCAACTGTCTTCTCTTTTTTGAAAATCCCACCATTGAAACCAGCCATCTGCTTCTTCCCCCATAGCCTTTGCTGCCACGTCCACTTTAAATCTTTCTGCAATAGCTTGGACTCGGAAAATATCTTTCCATCCTCCCGATCCATTCATACGCTTCATCCTCATAGAATAGAGGTAATTCCTGTCTTTGAACTAGCTGAATTCCGAGAAACAGCTTTAGAAGAAGATAGCGAACTGTGAGAATCCTTTGGTGGAGAAGAATAATCTCCTTTCAATCGTGTCTTTCTTGAATGAAAAGAGCGATGATAAGAATGATGAGAAGAACTCGAAGATTGATGTGAAGAGCTTTGCGAAGAAACAGTTCGCGACTTACCTCCTGCTTCAGACGATGTACACTGTCATGTACAGTGTGGCGACTTGAACTTCTTGATTTTCTTCGTTCATGTTGATCATTCTGTGAATCCATTCCGCACTTCATCGCGAGTCTTCCGTGCTTCATCGCGAGTCTTCCGCACTTCATCGCGAGTCTTCCTCACTTCATCGCGAGTCTTCCCCGTCTCCTCGCGGTTTCGTTCCAATTTGCGCTGCACTCTCTCCCGATTACTTCCCATCGTCCTGCGTGTGTCGAGTATCGACCGTTGATAGGCTACATGAACGAGTGCTCTGATACCAATGTTAGGAACCACCAGAATTCCAGAACAATTACAAGAAGAGTAACAAGAATTCAGCTGAAGAATTTTATCGAAGAAGATATCGATTACAGAAAAGAAACAGTGAACAAGGCCGAAGCCCCCAAAGCCGTAGCCCCAAAAGATCGAAATGATCAGTCTCGTATCCTTCTCGGTCCCAAGACCAAAATGTCTAAAAGCCTCCCACACTACTCCCCCTTCCCATCTATTTATACTACAATACATCAAGTGCCCTTATTACTAATATTCTTATTAGTACTTATATTATTAGTCTTATATAACTGGGTTCCTAACACATGTCAGCTCTGATAGTTTATCATTGGAATGATGTAGAGCATATACTATGTTACTTGAAGGGGACACCGGGACGAGGTATAACTATCAAAATCATAATCACATGAAAATAGAATGCTTTACTGATGCTGATTGGGCTGGATCTAAAGATGATAGAAGATCCACATCTAGCTATTGCGTCTTTGTTGGTGGTAATCTCGTCTCTTGGAAAAGTAACAAGCAGAATCGAGTGCTGAATCAGAATATCGGGCTATGGCACAATCAGCATGTGAGATAATCTGGATAAACCACTTATTGAGTGAAATGGGATTGAAGACACCAATGCCTGCTAAACTCTGGTGTGATAACCAAGCTGCTATACACATTGCCAAAATCCAGTGTTTCATGAGAGAACAAAACTTATTGAGGTCGATTGTCACTTTGTCAAGAAAAGATACAACAAGGATTGATCTCTACAGGATATGTGAAGACCGGAGAGCAACTTAGAGATTTGTTCACTAAAGCACTAAATGGAATTCGTGTTGGTTACTTATGTAACAAGTTGGGCATGATAAATATCTATGCTCCAACTTGAGGAATGTGAAAGACATTAGAATATTCTTTAATATGCTTTAGAATATTCTTCTATCTTTAGAATATGCTTTAGAATATTTTAGGAATATACTATAGGATATTATTATATAGGATCTTAAGGGAATATTCTATCTGTATAATGTATATATATAGGGACTTAACCTTCCAATGAAATACACAGAAAATCATTTTCCTTCTCTTCACTATTATTCTAGCTTTAATTCTTATAACATACAGTGTTATACGAAGTATACTTTTCTCTGTCATCCCATCAACTATCAATTATATATTACTCTATATCATATCTCATCACATTCCAATTTACTTACTTTTGTTCATAAACATGCTTAAACCTACTATGAGCTTTGCACTGGGACAGAGGCAGCATTTGTCTAATTCTTTAAGTCTGGGTAAAATTTTGATGTGGTGTTGTTTATTTCCCATCTTAAATATTTTTTTATGTTCATCAGTCACAATCACTTGAGGCTTGAGCTAAACAGAATTCTTTCAAGGACTTCATTTAAAATGCATTACACCAAGTTGATCACTGGATTCTCTTACACCTAAAAGTCTAAAACCAAAGCCTGGCCGACAATGTTCTTTTCCTTCCCTTTTTACATAGTCTTTTAGGACACATACTGTCAGACCGAGACTTATTAGAAAGGAAGAATCATATAAACAACACAATTTTTTCTGTAAAAGGAAATGAGAAGAACCTTTTGAGACGACTCAAAAAGAAAAGTGAGAAGAAGTTTTTGGGGTAGAGTATTTAGTTGGGCTGATGTTTGTATGGTGGGTAGGGCGGTAGGCATCCTTCAATGTAAGAAAAAACAATATTTGAAGAAAAAATTGAATGCTAATACCCAAGCAGAACATGCATGCAACAAATGGTGAATAAAGAAAGCCAAAAAAGAGCTGATGACCTTCCAATTGTGTGGAGCAACTTTGTCGATCACAAGCACATGATTGTCCCAATTCTGTGAAACCGCAACCAAAAGTTTCCGTGTGAAGCTGCAATATCGACACAAAAAAGGTCTCTACGCATACATGCCCCATGTCTCACATAAACCTTAAACCATGTATTATAATAGTGATACAAAGATTGAGCTTACCGTAAAATTAGTTTACTGTAAACTACCTTTGGGGGAGCCGAAAGTACTTCTGCTTCTGTGAATGCGAAAAGATTGCAAACATCAATTCACACACCCAATGAAAAACTCTGAAGAAGCTAAGAGGCCAACTTAAGAATTAAGAAAAAGATGTGATATTGTCAGGGGGTGTGACTGGAAGAGGCTATGAAGATAACGGATTACTCTCCCTTGGCCTAGTAGCACTCTTGTCCCTGACAGAGAGTAGCACTCTCTCCCTTGGCGAGAAGAATCTTTGGTGATTGGCCTTGTTAAAGAGACACTGTTATGTACCGGGATTCTTTGGGTCACAGGAACGAATTAAAAGGATAAAAGGAAGGGGTTGTGGGTGATTAGGGAGTTTTCCTTCTTTGGAATTTAGGGAGCTTCCCTTATCTTTGATTTCTTAATATTTCTTTGATATTTTTATTTATATAGCAAAACTCCCTTTTATAATAGGGATACATGCATATAGATGCCTAAAACAATGAAAGGGACTAAAATAACTTCCTACCAAATAACTTCCTAAAATAGATTAACTAATGAAGGCACTAAAATCAAATTAGGAGAAAATCAATCGGCTAATACTCCTTATTGTTCTACTTGATTGGCCTTTTATCTTTCCATTTATAGCATGCATCATTGCACCCCTTCTGGAAAATTGACCTTGTCCTCAAGCTTGAAATTTTAAGGGAATTGCCTATAATAGGTTGTTGTGTTGATATCCCAGCTCTAGGATTGTTTTTGTATTCTTCTTTTAAGAGTAAAAAATTGTAAATTGTCTATTCTACCCTTCAAGCATAAAACACCAGCACAACATCTAATTTTATTGCAGCTCTTGTCCCATTTTCTTTCACCTGTGTCCAGTGAAGGCAAGAGCCATCCTGACCAGACCTGCTTCTCTATGCCTCCCCCATTAAGCAATCTTGAAGCTTGAATGATTTGGCACGTATGTGATTGTGAAGTCTATGCAGAGCTTGCTTGGAGTTCTTATTCTTCAGGAGTGAAGATGGTAATCTTTCATCCCTCATCTTTATCGTATCCATAATGATTTCCAGCCTTCAAGAACTGATCTTGAACAGGTCCAAAACATAGAGTAAAAATGATTTTAAAAATTCCTAACAAGCCCGTTTTATTTTCATTCATTCATTGCAAATCTTACTTATTAGTTTTAAATCTTCCAACTGTGATCTTAAAAAACCAGCCTATGTGCTCTGCCCATAAATCACCCCATTTTTACTGTTCAAGCTCTTACTTCTTCGTATTCTAGGGATTTTGATGATTTCAAAAGCACCAAGTAAAGAGGAAGACTGAAGTAGATGACAGGATGATGAAGCGCTGCTGCTCCCTTGACCCGCCAGACACCCTCTTGGTTGTGACGCTGGTTATTGTTGCTGCTGCCATTCTCATTTGAGAGATTGTTGTTCTATATTGTGTTGCTTTTGCAGCTGTGAGGAGTGTGTGGTAACCTATAAAGAATGGAAACTCTCAAGAATGAGTACATTCCCGTTTTGGAAAAGTAACTCTTTAGAAACTTTCCAAACATTGTTTTTCTATTAAAAGACGGTGTTTCATGTTTCACATTACCCCATGTTTCCCACGTTCTGGTGCACTATAGGTGGTATGTTTGTGATAATTGTGTGACAAATGCATTGTAGCTCTAAGGAAATGTTAGGGTAATCGCATTCTGATCATCATTTCATTGTAAAAGTGTTTGATAACTATGTTCTGAAAATTCTGATTCCATAATTGTGTGGTAACTGTATGTAATTGTGTGGGAATTGTAGGGTAAGTGCATTCCAAACTTCTGGTAATCGCTCTTATATAAATGTGCTTGATAGCAGCATTACAAAGATTTTGATTTGATAGTTCATAGTTGTTTGGTAAACTTATTGTAATTGTGTAGCAATTGTGAAGTCACTGTATTCTGGTAATCATCTTGATGTAAAAGTGCTCTATAACTGTGTTCTAAAATTTTGAATTGGTAATTGTGTGGACTTGTTTGCGGTAGTTATGTATTACCATCTTGGTCATAATTTTGCTATAAAAGAATTTGATAACAATATTCTAATAATTGTACTCCCTCTCTGTTCCACTAACAATGTCCCATTTTCCTTTTCAGTCCATCCCACTCTCGAGACCAAATTTGGTAATGTATGTGTGGTTCTTAACCGTTCTTACTTTATCCTTACTAAAACAATTCAATATCGACCAAAAACAACAACAACATCCAAGCCTTAATCCCAAAAGAATTTGGTGTTGGCTAACATGAATCAATCTATGATATTGATGCCAAACAAAGAGACGGACAAGGAGGGCGGAAAAAGTAAGATAAAACTGAAAAAATAAAGATAAATAAAAAAATAAAAGATAAAAAGTAACAGAAGAATATAAAAAGATAAAGAAGATAAACGATAAAAGAAAAGAGAGAGGAAATGTAGAAAAGACATCAATCGTCCACACGGATGTGCGCCCTCCACTTTGCTCTCTCCAAAGCCATACTCTCATCCAACCCAAGAAGACGCATATCAGTTCTGATTTCTCTAATCCAAGTCTGTTTGGGTCTTCCCCTCCCTCTCTTCTCTGTCTCTTCTCCCCACCCCTCAAGTCATCTAACAGGTGCATCATTCGGCATTCTACGCACATGACCAAACCACCGCAAACGAGACTCCTGCATCTTATCTTCAATAGGTGCTACTCTCACCTTTTGTCTAATTATATCATTCCTCAAGCGGTCTTTTCTAATATGTCCACACATCCAACGCAACATATGCATCTCTGTCACACTCATCTTTTGAATGTGGCATTGTTTCACCGTCCAACACTCTACGTTATACATTAATGCAAGCCTAATTGTTGTTCGATAAAATTTACCTTTCAGTCTAGTCGGCATACCAAACTCGCATAGAAATCCCGATCCGCTCTTCCATTTCATCCACTCAGCTCTAATTCTATGACATACTTCTTCATCTAATTCACCATCCTTCTGAATTATGGAGCCCAAATAACGGAACATATCACACACCGGTATCTCCTTACCATCAAGAGTAATCTCAATGTTGCTATTACTTCTACCTCCACCAAACTTGCACTCCATATCAACCACAAAAATTCACTTTATTTAAAAATCGCATGGTCGCACCACCTCCTCATGTACTAAAGTTCGGAGGACGGAGGTAGTAGTAAAAACAATGTGGTTTTCCTAAATATAAATACTATACTTTTTCCCTTAGACAGAAATAATTACTGTGATCCTAAAACGATATTGCAATATAATGGCCGAATACTATCACATATATGCCTATGATGTCAAAATATGACAGTACAATTATATGATGCCAACACTCTTTCCTGCTGTCGTGAAAAAAAATGTACTCCTAATGGGTAAATCACCTTGTTTTTTACTCCTGTTTTGGGACATTTTCCTAATCTGATTTGGCAGTTGCTTGTGGTAATTGTGTAGTAATTTATGGTGATTGTGTTGTAACCAGTGTTCTAAAAGGCCCGATAAGGCACCGCATATGCGGCCTAGGCCCAAGGCGGGAACAAGAGGCGTGCTGGCCCACAACTTATAAAATTCTGACTATATTTCGGAACCTCCCACTCTCGCACACATAGCCGCTACTATGCGATGCAAGCGAACTATTTTAAACCGAGCAGGCTTAGTCAGATCTATTATATAGAGTGTTGGGAGATGAAATGCTTTCTCTCCTTCCGGTGTGGGACTAAGCCATTCATGCATTTAAAGATTTGGTACTTCATATACTCCGCAGAGCAATGAATTGCTTAGTCTATTAATATACAATCATTATTAGTATTATATATATATATATATATGCATTATAATATTTATGATTATTACTAAATTATTATTACTATCATAGTAAGATCATTATTATATAACCATTCTTGGTTTTAAAAGGCACGAGGCGCCTTGAGGCGGTTTTTTTTATTTACCCGAGGCGCGAGGCGCTAGGCGGTGATGCGCGCGCATCACGGATCTCAGCCACATTTCCCTCGTTAAATATATTTTTAGTACTTCTACATGAAGCACTCTTCTCAAAAACACTTCAAACTATTAAACAATCTTAATAAACATCATAAGAGAAACAAAATATTAATTAAGTTGTATAAAAACTGTTAATAGTAATTTAAATAATTAATGTAATAAACTGTGATAAATTAGTAATCATTTTGTGATAAATTAAATAATTAAGTTATATAAAAACTGTTAATACTTAATAGTAATTTAAATAATTATTGTAATAAGCTATTATATAAAAATTTGTTAAAAAATGTTAATAATAAAAACTGTCATTTTTTGCAATACATTGTTAATAAATCAGTGTTCTAACACTAAAATATATATTATATAGTATTATGATATTATCATTGTTATGCAATTGTAATATACTATAAAATAATACATATTTAATTAATAAACTATCACTCAAATACAATTCTGTAAAATTAATTACACACAGATGTATGGTCAGAATCTGACTTTTTATTCAAATAATTTAGTGTTAGAAGATAAAAACTTAAAATATATTTTTATTCATAGTTAATAATCTGACTGACGTTTATATACAATTCTGTAAAATTAATAACTACGTACGGTCAGTTATCTAACTTTTTATTCAAATAATTTTAATATTTTTATAAATAAAACAACTTAAAATAAAAGAGAATAAATAAAAGAAGATAAAAAAATAAGCAGACTTACCTCTGCGGCTCTGCAAGATCGGAAGCAGACTTACGCGTGATAGAAGGCAAGAAGGCAGAAGCGCGAGATCGGAAGCAGAGAAAGTCGGAAGGGGCAGAGTTACGCAGATAGGCAGATATATCCGAAGACCAAATTACCAAAAGCAGAAGTAAGGAAGAAGACTAGAGAGACTTGGAGGTTTGGAGTTTGATGGAGTGAGGGAAGCGCACGCCAAGGAACGGTAATCGCCAGAATCCATGAGGCGGCTAAGGCGCTCGCCTCTCAGAAGCGAGAAAGGCGCAAATAAGCGAGAGAAGCGCACGCCTCGTAAACCC